CTGTATGTATGGAAACGGTCGATTATCTCCTAAAGTAAGGTAACTATCAAAAAATCATAAGATACAAGTCGGCTTTTTTAAAATCTATTACAATAAAGAAAAATTACGAATGACGAAACAAAATTGCTTCTTTAATGGAATACCCTGTATATTGTTACATATTTCAATTTTTCTCGAAATTCTAAACAAATTTCATATAGTACATCACATACCTACCTAAACTTAACTGTTTTCGAGATATCGAACTTTAAAAATCAATTTCTTATAAATTATACAAAAATATTTTATTTAGTTTATAGTCCATCAAGTTACCTTTGAAAGTTAGTGTCTATCTCCATAACAATGCCGCGTCGTTCTTTAAATGTGCCATTTTTACAAGAAAATTATTCATACTAACATATTTTTGGAACGTATTGTCAAAGATAATCACTATTAGACAAACGAACAACGAGGCGTTGTTATGGAACTAGAAACTTTCAAAGGTAACTTGATGGACTATAAACTTAATAGAATAAAATATTTTTGTATAATTTATAAGAAAATGATTTTCAAAGTTCGATAGATCGAAAACGGTTAAGTTTAAGTACATGATGAAATATGAATTTTGTTTAGAATTTCGAGAAGAATTGAAATATCCATTAAAGAAAAAGCAACTATGTTTCGTCATGATTTTTTGACTGAGGTCACCACTGAAAATGCAGATAGTGAGGAAACGTTCGGAAGCTTTGGATGCGACTAGTTACAGAAGCCACTGGAGTTCGCCCGAGAACAACAAAGATTCCTGAATGAGGTTATGGAAGTGCAATACAAGTCTTTAACCACCGGCTACCGCGTATAACGCAGCACCATAAATTTTTGTAACACAGGAGCATAACAGTATCAAAAATATTCACAAACCAATGATTGCATCATGTAGAGTTGAAGTTGCATCGTATTTTAATGTAAAATATTGATTAAAATAGTTCCGTTGTGATCCTAAATCCGTTGAAGACTACCAAAAAAAAGGAATGCCTTCAGTAGCGGTCAATGTTCACAGTGAAAATGAAGTTTTGTTGAAGATCATCTTTTGAAACTGCTAAAACATTAAATATATGTGAAACAAATGATTCGTAGTAACGTCAAAATGACATTGTGATCAAACAAATTTGACGAAAATTACGTAATTGATCAAAAATGTTCTGGTTTGCGTCTCAAAATGTCCTGTTGGAATGAACGAAAAATGAAACAAAACTTATACAAAAAAAATCAAAACTGATACAACTAGTTACAATTGCTCTGTTTTCTTTTAGAAATGTGTCGAAAGCCCTATAAAACTAGATTTTTTTCCCGTATCTTAATGAAACACGGTAAATTAACTTAACAACGAGGTGGTGCCGTTAATTTCTATCGCAAACGATAAATCAGACAGGCTTTAAAAATAACGCCATATATCACACGTACCGAAACGAACGATCAATACCAAAAGCAATATCGTGCAAAATGTGCAGCACCTGCATATAATTGGAGTGCAGATTTTAATATCCAAACAGTACTAATTTATAATTTAGCTCACCAATGAATTGAAAATACTGTGTGAATCCGGTGATTGATGATTTAATATACAATATGTATGTTTTTCTTTGTGTTTATATATTATTCATCAGCACATAGATCTTCCGAGATTTAAAGAAAATATATTTGAATATACCATCTACAATGCTTTGTTGCAATGAGGGTATTAAAAGTTAAAGATAAAATAAAATTTATTTGGAATTGCAAAAAAAGATGCTGAGTGGTAACATTAATAATATTTTATTTAATTCAAAGATAATTATCGGAATTAAACTTCATTTGCAAAGCTCTGAATACATGGCCTCCTCGTAGCTCGTCTCTACATATGTAAAGTGTTTACAGTGGTGGTCATGGTTACCGTCGCGCAGTAGGAGTGGGAGTAACGGATATTTACTACGCAGTTTGGGCTCTGTTTNAGATAATTATTATAATTATTAATTAATGCCCTCCCCATTCAAGAAATTCGAAACGACTACACAGCATTTACCAAGCGCGCTGAGCGATGTGTAATAGTTGGTGGCAGCACATTTGCATAACCATTCTATTACTTGTTTACTTATTTTTATTATATTAGTTACGTTTTTCTCTAATAAATAATTAGGAATTTGTACTTTGTGGTAATGAAAAATAAAAAAGAAACAGAGTTGGCCGATCAAATTGAAAATTGACAATCTGTCATAACTTTTAGTTCTCAATAACTTTCTTAAGTAAATATTTTTTACTTTACTCCTGACAATTTTTGAAAATTCATCGTAAAAACACCTGTACATTAATTAATTGTACTAAGTTTTTCAACTTCCTAGTTTAGGCCAAGCAGAGATAATGCCCAAAAGCTCAAATTTCAACTTAAAAATGTTTTGTCACCCTACATGCACTCAATCTTTGGACACACTGTATGTATGGAAACGGTCGATTATCTCCTAAAGTAGGATAGCTATCAAAAAATCATAAGATACAAGTAGTCTTTTTTAAAATCTATTACAATAAAGAAAAATTACGAATGACGAAACAAAGTTGCTTCTTTGATGGAATACCTTGTATATTGTTACATATTTCAATTTTTCACGAAATTCTAAACAAATTTCATATAGTACATCACATACCTACCTAAACTTAACTGTTTTCGAGATATCGAACTTTAAAAATCAATTTCTTATAAATTATACAAAAATATTTTATTTAGTTTATAGTCCATCAAGTTACCTTTGAAAGTTAGTGTCTATCTCCATAACAATGCCGCGTCGTTCTTTAAATGTGCCATTTTTACAAGAAAATTATTCATACTAACATATTTTTGGAACGTATTGTCAAAGATAATCACTATTAGACAAACGAACAACGAGGCGTTGTTATGGAACTAGAAACTTTCAAAGGTAACTTGATGGACTATAAACTTAATAGAATAAAATATTTTTGTATAATTTATAAGAAAATGATTTTCAAAGTTCGATAGATCGAAAACGGTTAAGTTTAAGTACATGATGAAATATGAATTTTGTTTAGAATTTCGAGAAGAATTGAAATATCCATTAAAGAAAAAGCAACTATGTTTCGTCATGATTTTTTGACTGAGGTCACCACTGAAAATGCAGATAGTGAGGAAACGTTCGGAAGCTTTGGATGCGACTAGTTACAGAAGCCACTGGAGTTCGCCCGAGAACAACAAAGATTCCTGAATGAGGTTATGGAAGTGCAATACAAGTCTTTAACCACCGGCTACCGCGTATAACGCAGCACCATAAATTTTTGTAACACAGGAGCATAACAGTATCAAAAATATTCACAAACCAATGATTGCATCATGTAGAGTTGAAGTTGCATCGTATTTTAATGTAAAATATTGATTAAAATAGTTCCGTTGTGATCCTAAATCCGTTGAAGACTACCAAAAAAAAGGAATGCCTTCAGTAGCGGTCAATGTTCACAGTGAAAATGAAGTTTTGTTGAAGATCATCTTTTGAAACTGCTAAAACATTAAATATATGTGAAACAAATGATTCGTAGTAACGTCAAAATGACATTGTGATCAAACAAATTTGACGAAAATTACGTAATTGATCAAAAATGTTCTGGTTTGCGTCTCAAAATGTCCTGTTGGAATGAACGAAAAATGAAACAAAACTTATACAAAAAAAATCAAAACTGATACAACTAGTTACAATTGCTCTGTTTTCTTTTAGAAATGTGTCGAAAGCCCTATAAAACTAGATTTTTTTCCCGTATCTTAATGAAACACGGTAAATTAACTTAACAACGAGGTGGTGCCGTTAATTTCTATCGCAAACGATAAATCAGACAGGCTTTAAAAATAACGCCATATATCACACGTACCGAAACGAACGATCAATACCAAAAGCAATATCGTGCAAAATGTGCAGCACCTGCATATAATTGGAGTGCAGATTTTAATATCCAAACAGTACTAATTTATAATTTAGCTCACCAATGAATTGAAAATACTGTGTGAATCCGGTGATTGATGATTTAATATACAATATGTATGTTTTTCTTTGTGTTTATATATTATTCATCAGCACATAGATCTTCCGAGATTTAAAGAAAATATATTTGAATATACCATCTACAATGCTTTGTTGCAATGAGGGTATTAAAAGTTAAAGATAAAATAAAATTTATTTGGAATTGCAAAAAAAGATGCTGAGTGGTAACATTAATAATATTTTATTTCATTCAAAGATAATTATCGGAATTAAACTTCATTTGCAAAGCTCTGAATACATGGCCTCCTCGTAGCTCGCCTCTACATATGTAAAGTGTTTACAGTGGTGGTCATGGTTACCGTCGCGCAGTAGGGAACGACGGAGTGGGAGTAGCGGATATTTACTACGCAGTTTGGGCTCTGTTTAGTCCGACCATAACCAAATAATAGTTATTCACCGCTTTTTTCTTAATAAACGTAATTTGTTCATATGTGTAAAATGTTGTTACTTACAAATTGTTTCTTGTGGGTTTTTAAAAAAATTGTAAAAGTTTAAATTGATGTGAGAAGTACCAAACTTTAATAAAAAAGTAATTGAAAAGTTTATTTCGGACAAAAACAGAAGAATGGACTTTCATTTTAAAAAATGATGTTGGGTAGATGTTTCCGATATTTCAATAGTACTTAAAATAAAACTACCCAATTATATTTGATTTTTTTTGATACTTTGTACCTAAATTTTTCCGCGCTGCCTGGTAAGGAAGTCAAGAGCCACCACTGAAAATAGGAATCACCGAAACCAAGACTTTCATTACTTTTTAAGTGTAACAGTAAGTTGGTGTTATCACCAATCTAATATACCAAATGTTGGCAAAATAAAACAAGAAGAACATCCCGTAAATTTCCATTAGGAATGATAAATCGGGGTGTCTAAAAATAGTGCCATATTTCGCATGCATCGAAACAGAGGATCGATATCTGAAGCAACAACGTGCAAAATGTGCCGCACCTGCATGTAGTTGGTATGCACCGAGCCGGTTGGAGGCGGCAAGGGTGACTCCAGTTTGCTGTAGCCGGCGCTCATCGGTGGCATAAATTGGTTGCTTCCGGTTCCGCTAGAAATCGGGAAACACACGGGAGAATCCAGGGCCCCGCGCATGCCCGCTGCCATGGGTGACTGCAACAAAAATCCAATGTCTACGTTATGTGTGGAATTTCTCTTTGAAAATCTGCATACATTATAGACACAAAAAAAACAGGCATCGATATGCAGTACACGTAAAAATATATCGATAAAATGTATTACTACTTTCAGTACCTAATTGTTACTTGATTACCGTTCTTAGTAAAGGAAATTATTTTGCCTGAAGTTATTTTCTTTTGTATAGTTTTCGTTTTCTTCTTTATTTATTGGGTATTTTGTCGCTTGTGAAAAAAATCCCTTTCGTCAAAAGAGTCGGACAAAATAGTTTTACCTTAACAAAATTTCCCACTGAAAAAAAGCATAGAAATACAAAATACACATCACTACACAGGGTGTTCTCTTTTTAAACGTACTAACGTTAACAGTTGGTAGAGAAATTGATTCTGAACAAAAAAGTTCATATGGACACAGGTCACAAATCGCTTCCTAACCTAGATACAGGGTGTCGAATTTAATTTTCTTTACCTGTTTACTGTGAAATGTAAAAAATCAGCAAGTAATAACGAAACCAAATTAGGTATGTCTTGTGGCGTAATGTTCTTTGAAAATTACCTACAAACTATTCACTACAACCAGTGCCCCTTTTTTAAACAGAATTTCTATGACTATGGATTTTTTTGAAATTTTATGACATTTTTCAAATCGCTGATATATTTTAAACGACATAAATAACTGTCAGTGCCGTTATCACATTGTAAGTAAAATGGATAGGCATAGGAGGTTCTGTATCATGACTTCATTGGTCACCCGACATTAATCCCCTTGATTATGTTGCTAAAATCTAGACCAGTTTTTTTCGGTTCGAAGGAAACGACCCACGCCAAAACAGACTAGATTTCCGAAATCTACGCGTCCACATCGGTCTAGAAACGAAATTTGAACGGAATCCAGAAAAAAAAATTTATTTCAGTTTCGCTCGATTTTCCGGACTCTCGGTTGAAAAAATCGTACAATCCGAACAAAAAAAGGTACGGCATCGCGGTTTGAGCCATTCGATAGATCCGTCCTTCTAATATTAGGAAAAAAATCACCGTTCCCGAGAACGACCCGCAAAATTTTTTACGACGAGAACCGAAAGACGATGCGAGAAGCGAACCGATCAAAATTTTGAAAAAAATTACCTGTTGAATCTCGAATATTTTTTTCTCAACTCGTGCTAATATGATATAGAAACAGAAGAAAAAATAATCGGAAGCTTGTGATTCAACGAGAAAAATTGAAAAAATTTCGAATTTTCAAAATATTCGAATTTTTCCGAACCTCGCGCACTCTTTTGGTTACCCCGTTCGAAATAACCGACGAATCCAGTTGCAGTTTTCACGGCAGGAATACTCGTCTTCAATTAGATACGCCAGTGCAATTATCAAACTCAAGTCGACAAACTTTGAGGACGTATTGCTCTACTCAAAGTAAGTGTGGATACACATGTCTTCAAGTGACCCATTTTAAGTATTACGTCAAGAGCGCCAGTCTGACGCCCCGCCCGGACCGGTCTAACAGTTGCAAGGACAAACAACAACGCGGGACGCACCAATTTTCCAGGAAAAAGGTCCACGGCAGATTGGCGCCAAGGACCAGATACCTGCGAGCGACTCCACACCAAGAAGACTCTCCAGCAAACGCTCGACCCGACAACACTTATTCTTTTTCACTAACTCTGTTTTCAATAAAAAAAATACTTTTATTTTACTGTTGAAAGAGAGTTTTATTTTGCTGCACACCAAAAACAAGCATAGTTTGAGTTGTCAGTGTTACGAGAAATAACTACTCCGAGCTATATGCTCCTACCGGCATTGAATTAATTATACTCGCAACACCTAGTGCAACAGCTAGGATCGTTTGTCAGTTTACCCACCAGGCACAGACCGGTTTCGAACTTATTAGGCCTCATCGGTGTGTCATAGGTGCGACAACCGACAAACGTCCCATCTGTTCTTTGTCGTATCGTCACAAGGCAATACATTGTACGCGAGAGCGCAAATGGCTCCATCTGTCGTGCGGACTCCCAACTGTGCCATTCAAATGGATACAGTAGGAAGCGACCTGCTATATTGCAGGTACTTGGTTGCACGACTGCCACCTAGAGAGATATATGCTGCTACCGGCGTTGAATTATACTCGCAACACCTAGTGCAACAGCTAGGATCGTTTGTCCTAGCCTAGTGGGTAAACTGACAAACGATCTTAGCTGTTGCACTAGGTGTTGCGAGTATAATTCAACGCCGATAGGAGCATATAGCTCTCGGAGTAGTTATTTCTCGTAACACTGACAACTCAAACATTGTGTTACGCCCTCTGTGGGTGGCAGTCATGCAACCAAGTAGTTGCAATATAGCAGGTCGCTTCCTACTGTAGCCATTTGAATGGCACAGTTGGGAGTCCGCACGACAGATGGAGCCATTTGCGCTCCCATGTACAGATTTAATTTAAATATTCTAGGCGCGGCGCGGCGCTGAGGCATCATAACTAGATATTTTATGGAAAAATTTGAGTATATCACTGTATTTTTATAAGTTTGATACTATTTTTAGATAGAGTAGTTAATAACACAATTTTTGCCTTTTTCTATTATTTCATTTTATTAATAACATTAATTTCAATGATCCAGAACCGGACGGATAAACGAATTCTATTTTTTCTTTTTCAAAAGGTAAACAATATAGACAAAAAATGCAAGAGACAGAACAATTGTATTTTTAACTATTCAATTTAAAAACTTTATCAAATTTATAAAAATGCAGTGGCGTGCTCAAACTTTTCTTTAAAATATCAGTTATGATGCCCAGCGCTACCCCTGGAACAACTAATTTAAATTTAATTACATCAAATTGAGCATCTCACTTATTAACAAAGTCATGCCAACATTTTATTAAAATCGGCCAAATAGAAGTTTTTGAGATATTATATAAAAAACTTTTTTTACTAACTTCACCACCGAAAACGAAACTTTAAAACATACAAATTCATATGAACCTGTATAGTGATGTGTATTTTGTATTTCTCTGTTTTTCTTTTCAGTGTGATATTTTTGGTTAGGCAAAACTATTTTCATAAAAATAACTTTTAACAGATCCTTTTGGCGCATTAATTTTAAAAAATTTTCCACAGATGGCAAAATACCCAAAAAAGAAAGAAAAAAAGTAAATGATTCTTCTGGAACCAGTTCCAAATTCGCTATCTAGATAGTTTTACGCTGTTATCGTATATAAACCTAACACGAGATTTTAACAGAAATTAGTTTTTAAAGGGATTGTTAATTAAATTAGATTTAATATCTCAGAAAACTTTTTTTTTTCTTTTTTTACTGTAATGATACGTAATTAGTTAAAAATTGTATAATCCGATGAATTTAATCATTTTGATTTTTTTGTTTAGAATTCACATAACATTTTCCTTCCTTCAAATTTTTTTATCTTTCTATCTAGGCAAAAATAGTCCCTCATTTTTTCTGAATATAATGACACATATATGTCATATGTTTGTTTTGATAGGTTTATCATAATCAAGATAGACCTTTTTAGTAGTGACGTTACATACGCCAAATAATAGGCAACCCCATAATGCACATCGTCGTGAAGAATTTCTCAATATTTTTAGTCGATCGATTTTCGACCTTATGTACTTTGACATAAGTACCAAAAAATGGCTTCTTTGTTTAGAAATATTTAAGAAGTGACAAACGAATAGAATTATAGAATTTATATATTTAAACTTATAGAACAGTATTGACTTTTATAGTAATTAATAAATTAAAATGATATCAATGTTACTGAGCATGCGGATTAAAGATAATTTCGTGTAAGCGAAGTAGCCTCGCAACAGGAAATCATTCAAGGAAAGTTTGGTTATGGTAAAGAATATGTCTGTAGTAAACCACTTGAAGAAAAAAACACTCGATAAACAGACTGACACAGTACAACACCAAGAAAGACAATAAAAATACTTAGTAGAACTAGAAAATATCAAGACTAAACAAAACAAGAGAAAATACGCTAATGATGACAGCGATGACAAATCAACAAGATCTCACCTGTGTATGAGGCTATTCTTTCCAAGTATGCGCGTTAGGTATAACATGGCTAATTTTAAATTTTTACTTTATTTAAACTTAGGAATATTCTTTTATATCGTTTTTGTTAGTTTTAAACACATTAGTGTATCTATTTTACAAAACACGGTTGGTTGTTCTTAAATACTTCCAAATCCTTATAAAATAAATTCATTTGTTATTGATTTGTATAGTATCTATGTAAATAGTACACAAGGGCCAGATTTAGTCTGTACAATTTCAACTATGATAATTTGTTGCCGGTTGCCTAAATATGTGACATCACTCTAAAAGAGACTATTACCATGGAATCACTATGTTTTAAGCTGTTAATTTTACTAAACAAATCTTTAAACTCACCATTAAGAAAAAGTGTCTTGTATAAAGGGTGTTTTATATTACTTTGATTCTTCTGGATAAAAGATATATATTTGTGATCCCTCCCTTAGATCATATAAATTAGATCTTTCTCTAATTAATTTATCTCTTAAAATACATTAGATTCAGTAAATAAACCAAAATATTATGCAAACTGTTAAAGCAAAGATAGGACATGCATATATCACAGTAATTAGAAAAAGGAGAGAGTGTTTAATTTAATAAACACAAATTTCGATTGTACAGGGTAGCCCATCGAAAACGTACCGCAAGGCATTACAGGGTAGTAAAGAATTTTTCGGCAAAATCCAAGTACAGGTCAAATTTGTTTCTGAGGGGGACAACTTTTGGCTCAAAAAGCATACCAAAATCTTCAACCCCCTAAGTGGGGGTGCTATCCCCTAAATTTTTTCAAATGGGAATGGGGGTCAAGTGGGGGGTCATTAGAAAGGGCTTTTAATTCTCTATACATCGATTCTTACTTTTTGAAAATCGATTCATTATTTTAGAAAATATGCAGCTTTGAAAATACGAACAATATTTTTGA